GCATGTTATTTGCCTATAATCAGAAATAAATTACATGTTTATTTAATTTGAACAAAAGTACCTAATAAATCTAATTACTTCTCCCCATTAAACCTCTAAAAGTGCTTAAATCAGCAATATTCCTTAATAATATTTCCTTGTGCTATTACTATTAAAATTTCACCTTAAGACTTCCTTGAATCTATTTGCGTTCAAAACGTCCAAACGCAATTCGGAGGGAGATTTGAATACTTACCTTTGTTTCCCTTTTGAACGACCCATTTTGGTCGCTTTCACCGTAACGCTCGTTTAAATTATTTTGCCAGTTTTGAGTCGTAAATTTTAGGAAGACTTTAATTGTTATTTTAACTGCAAGCTCAACTTAGTCTACGCGCGGGGGCCATGAAAATATGTCTTAATTCGTTCACCCTATGACTTATGTTTCGTTGAAATTAAACTGTTGCGCTTCTTTGTAACCTTATTCTATATAAATTATCTGTCTTGCCTAACTACTTTTCACGTTGTCCAATTAGGAGATTGTAATTTTTTTTTTGTCTCTGATTCGTTAATTCTCTTTATTTTTCTTATACATTGTCGCGACTAACTCTCTGAAGAGTCGTAATATCAAATTTAAATAACAGGGAACACTCGATCTCTTTGGACAACTCTCCAAGGGTGTCACAAACGAAATTTAAATATTATTGTTGTTTTTACTGAGTGCATGAAATTGAAGAGAAATAAAATTTTCTCCGTTGTCTACCCTTCGCAAAACGGGAATCACATTTGGCCTCTAAATAAAACAATTCGTAAATGGAAAGTAGCATTTCAGTTTTTCGATTCGGATTTTGAGGGAAATGTTTTGATGTCGATCATAATGTTAGCTAATTACCTTTATTAAATTGCGTAACCAAAATCGATCCTTTTGTTAATGGTTTCGATCCTTTCAATCATCTATCGGCCATTGAGCTGCGGTATCATAATAATTGTCCATAATTATATATTCCCTTGAACCGGCGCATCGTTTTTATTGTTATTTTATTTATAAAGTAATAATTTTTTCGTCGGACGCAACTCGATCAGGTTTTGAATTTGATTGATCCGATATAAAGATCGATTTAATAATAATCGCCTGTTCCGCTTCAATGTTTTGGTTTTCTCTTGTTTTTGTCGATAAACGTTCTCATTGGATCGATTTTATTTTGTGTCTACTTATTGACTGGTTCCCGAAGATTTATTGGTCTCTAATTTTGATTGAACTCATAATAATATTATGAAACCTACATCTTGGAATATAATTATCATTATGTTTTTTTGATGAAGATTACAATATATATATTGATATTATGTAAGTACATCTATCTTTATAAATCTCAGAGGTTACAAATACTACGTATATAGAATAAATATTTTACCAAGTATAAAACATATGCTAATATCCGGCGAGCAGAAACCGTATGTCTGTACTTGCGTAATTAACATAAACAATACAAGATTCTTAGATCGTTACTAAGTATCCAGAGACCACCGGGAGCATCTTTTGTTAAGGCGCCTCTACTCGCAAATCGAGAGATGTTGAGATACGCCGCATACCGACGCGGGCCCTTAATGGCCATCCCTCGGTGGAGGTAATTTACGTCTCATGTGCGAAACCACTCCTTAACTAAAAGCCTTCTAAATTACAGTATACATCGGGATTGATTCGAAATTAATCTCGCAACCAACGCTCTAAGATTGACTCTTTTTTTTACAAAAATATTGTAATGAAATTCTGATTGTAACGTTAATACGCACCTGAGAATTTAATCACAATAATTATCGACGATTACTGTCTACTGCTGAAATACAATCTAATAGTGGTTTAAATATAAATTAACATTTGTGAAAGACAAAAATGATGCGCCAGGTCTTAAAGTTTAAACTAGACTGTATTGACGTGCGTACACGCCGCTCCAAATCTACTAGATAAATTTTGATAGAAATCAAATTCTAGTGAATCTCTTTACTTATCAATTCCTAATGTTTCATGTCCATAGTAAAATACAAGGATTAGCCATGTAAGCGATGCCTCGAGCACAGCTAGTCAATATCTTATTTTATGAAATACACACATGCATAAATATAATAATACATCATTAAAACAAATGTACGATATTACTACAACAAACACAGTACGGTTCGTTCCGATGATATACGATTGGAAACAACAAAGGGTGAGGCAGTCAACGTTTCAATTTACAAGATCTCCATTGGAGATATCTCCTGTACGATATTCATACCTTTATTCCGGAGCCTTATTATAAGCACGCGGGGAACAAGTTAACTTGTCCTTATCGCGAAGATTTTCGTATGTTGATATGGAACATGACCAGCTCCAGGCTACTTCTTTTAGTCTCATATCGTTATAGATTCATCTCATATTAAATTCACTTTGACATCTTTAGACGCGCTGCTAATTGGTTTACTGTTTAATTCTTCACATATTTTATTCGCTTTTTATTATAAGCAGAGGCCAATTCTTTATGTAATATCAACGTCAATCAAGTCACGCCTCTTAACACACTAATTCTGTCACTCAATGGCTTTATTTGTAATTATTTTATTTAAACATATCAAACTTGTTCCTACATTACATCTTACATTATCTTTCCATAATTCCACTTACGACTTTAACATTGAATGTATATAAGTACTTTGTTTATTATGCAATAGATAAAAGTTAGGTAGAATTTACTCTGATTCTTCGTATAAAGGTGACATAATTAAATATGTATAATATTATGTAGGTTGACATAGAAATCATTAGCATTATTTTAATGGAATTTCCTACTACTGAATCTAAAGATTTTCCCCCAAAATAATAAGGTGTAACACATTGCGCCTAACTATCATAATTAGTAAGGAACTAGTAAATATAATCCGCAAATTTCTTATGCTTACATATATAAAAATTCAAGCAAACCGAGAACTTCCCTCCTGGAAGTCACTAAAAGATAACTCGGAAATATGAACTCAATACATACCATACAAATAAATAATTGATCAATAATAATTTTAATAATTATAATTCGACAATAAATATAGTAGATAAAAAGTTAAGTTATTTTCCGATTTATATTTGTATTATTATTAAGATTTAACAGTAATAATTATTAATTCTTAAAATTAACACAGAATACTCGTTTGTTAGCTAGTTATTTCATGTTACTTCTATTTGTATATACTTATAATAATATTAATGTGTAGGTGTATTCGATGTTAATAGATTGTTAGCGTATATTGAACCTGTCGAAGTAATTAAATCGCTAACGGAATTAAACGGAACAATTCTCGTTGTATTGAACAAGGTTGTTGCGGGGCCGCAATACTGCGAGGACTAGACGTCCTGGTTATTAATATCTATAATCTGTTTTTCTATACTTTGCACAAAGTACGAATAGTAAATCTTGATATAAAATTAATTATAAATAGTTATTTATTAATAATAACACAATTATAAATAATATCACAATAAATAATCAAATAATTTTTTAGTGTGTTTTCTTTAAATAATAATGTATTTGTATAAACTAATTATATATGAACTACAAATAGACCGAATTTGAAAATTCAAGACACAAATAACGAAATTCTTCACTTTTAAATTAATTAACATTCGTCAACTACCATTTGGATTGGATGAAATATTATTAAATGAATACGTTTAGAATTAAGTTTAATAATTATTAATTATTATTTTTTTTTTATGTGAAAGGATCAAAATACATTAAAATAAAGATGCATAATACAAATATTATCCTCTCATTCTACTACATAATGCTTGTAACTAGTAAATTCAGTAAATTCTAGAGAGATTTTTTTTTTATTATTTATTTATTTTATAAAAAATATACACATGAAATATATGAATTGGTATTCAAGTAAGAGCGAAATAGTCTTTTTTTTAGTCTAATTTATGAACACTCAAAAACAATGTAAGCAGGATAATTTATTCATTCCTAAAGAACACCTCATTGCCAGTAACCGTAGGTGCTAACAGCGCAAGTTAATCAGCTTGATCCCCTTACGACATCCATTAGGTAGACGCGACTTAGGTACCTAATTGAATAAGGGTTCAAATTAAACGGGCATGACCTCTTTCTATTCAAATTTGACTGCGGCCTGATGCCTTTGCCCATACATACGCCCTCATTGGTATTTTGGAATCAGTAACTAAGATTAAGACTTGATTGAAAATAAGGGTTACTTTACTTTATGTGTTAACTAAATAAGCCCATAAGATAACATCTTAATAAAATAGCCTAAATTCAAAACTTTAAGAGTAACATGTATAAAAGTAATTACTTAATTCAAACTGTACAATATGATGTTGGAAAAGTTGGTGCAAAATTTTTAAAGAGTCTACATATAAAAAAAAAACAATATATTATAACGTTTGCGTAAGAATGGATCCGTTAAATGGCTCGTGGTGGTTGGTTACTGTTGCGTGTCTGTCAGACAACCAGACAGTCTAGTTTTTAATTCGTGTCATAGATTGTTTGCTACATTTCTCGCCAATTACTCGATTATTTCACGCTCTTTTATTTTACGAGCGGTCATTATTAAGGTAACATCTCAGTGGAATATTAAATAATAAAAATAGGTGCAAGTAAATTATACTAAAAGCTGATATTCCAGAATAGATACACCCAAATCGGAAGTAGCTCCCCCAATTATTTCCGTCAGTTTACATTTAATTGAAAGTTATGCAAATCTCTCAATTCGACTCCTTCACAATAGTACCGGGATTCCGAATGAGTTAATCCGTGTTTATATTCCTAATCAGCCCTTTGCTGACGGCCTTGTTACCGGTTTTAGCTCACAGTTAAATTTATACAATACCTTTTGTGTACTACAAAACATTCATTTAACTTGAAATGTTGTTTATGGGTTACATTTCCCCTTATTGGAATAGTTATTGATGTTTACGATACTAATAAATAGTAATAACAACAACATAATGAAACGATTTGTTATTGTTTCAGCCGAACTAAAGATGGACGTACTTAGAGAACGAGAGGTGAAAGACAACTTGGAGAGACAACTACTCGACGAACAGAAAATGAGAGGTAAGCAAATAGTGCATTTATATTTATATATTCGAGGATAATGTTGATTAGAAATTGATACTATTTTTGTATGAAGTATCATCGAAATTCGCCCAGTAGTATTCGCACTTGTTCATGAAGAAAATGACCAACTTATGTGAGATATTTTTATCATACAGCTATTGAAAAACTTTTTTTTTTTTAACAAATAGCTTCATATTTGTTAAAAAATAGTCTACTAAAGTCATTATCGAGATTTTTATTATACAATTACGCGCTATTACTACACAAAGATAGCCAATATTAATAATATTCGCATAATAATCGTAATTTACTACAGTAAAACAAATAAATAAAGAAGAAACGATAACCTTACCTTATACAACAATATAATTATACTATACTCTGAAACTCACGTTTTTCGAATTACCCGATATTAGATTCAGTAACAACAATCGGAGTGCCAAGAAAAGAACAAATAGGGTGTTATTTCAATGCCTTCATAAATCTTCGATCATTGGCTCGTGGTCGGCATTCGCTACAATTAACAGGATATCTTGTTACGGGACCATTGTCTTCTTCTTCGTCTGGTTATTTATTTGCTACATTAAAACTATTATATTCTCATGTTACACCATTCTAGTGCCTTATGTTGCCAATTTCCTTTTCATACTACCGACTCATCGTCGCCTCTTCAGTAATTGTCTGCTACAATGCGTTGTTGGTGTTAAATTATAACCATTTTATGCCTATATTCACACGTTAGAACGTTGAGTTTGTTCTTACTGTTAATGGTATCTGTTTGTTTCTATACTTTCCCAAGCTTACAGCTCGCGTGTTCCAACGTTTTCTTCAATTTATAGGTTCATTGATAGTTTTATGAGTTGCTTTTGACGTCTATGTAATCACCATAAATATGCTATTTATTAAGACAATTTTGCTGCGCTCCGCTGGAGTTAACAAGTATACATAGTTATATTCATATTTGTTATATATATTCATATTGTCATAAATATTGTTAGAATTAAGCTACTCGGTATAATGCGTCGTTGCATATTAAAACGTATTGTTTATTTATTTATTTAAACTTTAATGCACAGTAAAATTCAGCGGCGGACTTAACACCGGACGGTATTCTTTACCAGTTAATCATTGGACAAACCGAGAAATAAGTAGACGGTGCATTATTGAATATAAAATAGTATTTAATATATTGATATAATATATAAATGTAATAGATATATACATAAATACAAATAAAATATTACTATAATAAACAATTAATTGTATTAAAAGAGCAAATAATCTATAATTTAAACAGATTTTATCTGTGTTTTTAATGTTGTCACGAAAATGAAGTATTTCAATGATATAAAACAACTGACTCACGCCCTTGCAATTGTAAAGGTTAATTCGTATCGCACCTAATACAATAACACCCTTTCTTTAGCAATACGACATTGTGTCAGCAAGTGAAAAGAAACCGACAGAATGGAGGTAACCTTTGTACAAATGTCAAACGACATCGCAACGGTGAAGTAACGCCTTGAGACAAAGGGTTTAATTCTATTGAAAATATTAATGGAGGGCTAATTTCAACTCTACCTATGAAGCAATAATGTTGACTTCATTTTATCTTCAATAATATAAGCATTTTCATGTCACAGATGACATAAAGGCACTGTAGCTATTTTATCGAGGTTGATACGGGTATTTCTCTTGTGTTAATGTAATATAAAATTAAATGTTAGTAAAGGGACGACAAGTAGCAGTAAGGTTGTCGCTGCGTAAACTGAAAATAATTATTGCCGTTAAAACACGTGTTATAATGATACAAGCAACATTGAAGTAGCGATTTTAGTCGAACATAAAACCATAGTTCTTGAGCTTAGTAAGTGAATTATAGCTGGTTCGTTTTATAATACCAGTGAGACCACAGTTAATGGATTTTCTAGACTATTTGGTCTCCGACATATTTTAAAAGCTTTTTGACAAGTTATCCGTGCTACCATTTTAACACCTTTAGTGTCTCATCTTGCTATTATTTTTTGATATTACTACTAATGATTTTCTATTAATAAAAATCTTATATTTAAAAAAAACTTCTCACATTTATAATTTCTAGTGTAGTAATGAGAGGGATTTATTAACTGTTGCCGTAGTGTTAAGATACAAATCATAATATTGAAAGTCGGTCTCATTCCAACGTTATTTTTGTTTAAGAAATAATTAATGGGAAATTTATGGGAGCTAGCGATCTGTCTTAGTAAACCTATCATTTCGATCTTATAAAGGATTCCCTGAAACTATTTTCCTTAATTTCTGGCAAATTAAAGCCAATAACTCAACTAACTAACCTAACTTAACAATCATCTATAATTTCTTGGCAGTACTTCACCAACATAAACCGCAGTAACACAGACGTAGTCACCATTCCATTGCCATCTAGTAAAAAATAAAGTTTTTTATATGTTTTTTATTTAATTTTTACTCTACCAAATCAGAGCAAATCGTTTTATAAATAACCTTTTCTATGTATATAATTAATCTAATATAAACAAAATTTTAAGACCATGTTAGTGATTTTATTATATTGTATTAGGGTGCGTACAATATTTATCTTCACTATAAATGTTTGTCGCTAGATGGGTTTGCAGTATGCGGTAACAAAGAGGGAAATGGAGGTTTCATACATATTTCACACGGTGAATGAACCCGATTGCGTCGTGAGCAATACTGGTAATTGCCAAAAACCAATCATCAGATAGCGTTGCATGCGTCCACACTGTGAAATACACCTTTAGTTACAAAGCCCTAGTTGGCATTTCGAATAAATATGTTAACAGATAAAAATTGAAGTACCAAAAATATCAATGTATCTACAACACAACAGTTGCAATAAACTATAAACGGCAAGATTATACTTGTAGTAATAATATTGTGAATACTTATTAAATCCACCTGCTAAACTTAATTATGTCCATTAAATATAGAATATTTTAATCCTGACTTCATTGAAGGCCATTAAAATTCAGGCCGGACAACTTAACTCCAGCAGTTGACTGAAAAATACCGTCTTCGAATACGAAAATGACAAATTATTAAATAAAAACAAATAAATTACATATGGAGATTACAATGTTTTAGTAATTTACAATGTATATTATATTAACTTTAAATAGATACCGTACTTATTTATAATAAGAAGGACAAAACATATTACAATGCTGGCTACTGAAAAAGAAATATACTTAATTCGAAAGGAGTTTAAAAATGCTAAATGATTATATATTACATGAATTTAAAATACTTTTAAATGCTAGTAAAAGTGTTGATCTGCTAAAAACATTCTGAATTGTATAAAAGAAAAAAAAAAACTTAGTTAAAACAAACTGGACAAAACACAAGGATATTTGGACATTAATAAATAAAAAAAAAAACACATAAACGTTATATAACAATTACAATACAGTATGACTTACGATAGATATGATTCAATAAAAAATAAGGAATTAAAATTATTTATTAACTATCTAGAATTTGTTGTTGTGTCGCAGCTTTATTCGGGTAATTTTTCGAAGCAAATTTCATTATATTATAATAGTTATATAAAAAAAAAAATATTGAATAAAATCAGCGAAATACATCATCTATTACTCCCGATGGAGCTAAGGTCGAGTCACTGCTTATGAATAAACTTATCAATTAAAATGGGCTCCTTATTGGGCCAGCCATCAATCAGGGAAGGCGCTCCATGGAAATTGGAGTACAGCTCGGACCTAATCAACGTTCACGAACAGGCATTCATAATAGTTGTATTGAATAGTACGGTATCGTATCATCAAGCTCTCATGTAATGTAATGCGTACAAACTCTGTATAAACTGTAATTAACATGCAATTAATGTGCAACGAGAAGATTGTTCGCTTAGGTTTTACTACACAGTAGTTTTTGTAATCGTTTCTATGATGCGTTCATTAAAAACTTGATTGATCATAAGACAGTTTTTCCACAACCTCAATGGTTTTTAAAAAAGTAATTCGACTGTCTTTTTCATAACTATGTATGTTAGTTTAACGATATCATTAGCAATCAGTTGTTAACTGCTCACTGATGCAGACCTCCCCCATGAGTGAGAAGTTTTGCCAGTAGTTGCCACGCTTTGCAGATGGGTTGGCAACCACATTTAGATTTTGGAGATGTTTAAAAAAGGACGCTGCTGCCCAGCCCTCGACCATTAAGCTCCTTTAGTCGCCTCCTACGACACTTACAGGAAAAGGAGTGGCTTTTTCTGTGCTGGAACCACACGGCTACTTATCATTACTAAAACTGGACCAATTATAATTACTCTTATTGCAATCTATAGAGTTTGCTCGCATATTGTACTATACAGATTTTATCGTATTGGATTTTTTTTTCTTGGAAACTTAAGTTTTCGTAATTCTATTCTCATAGGCTTCATGAGTTTTTGAGATAATTACCCAAACTAAATAAGTATTTCCCTAACGAATTATTTCGGCCAAGTTCACCCTCACATCTTACAACTTCTATTTCGCATTCGTTAGATATTGAAGGTATAATTCTCATTGTACTCAAGATTGTGTAATTAAATAACATGTAGGCCGTAACATTACGGGCGTCTTGAAAGGGTTCGCAATGGGAATGTTACGCCAATTATGCGAACATTATGTTCGGAATGGAGGGTTATCGATGCCTGTTTTGATGTACCTTTGTATAGAGGATGTAATATATACATATATATATACTTATACATATTTCTATACATGTAATTAAGGGTTACGCTAATGTAATTCACTCCAATACATATATGTACGTGTTAATCACTATTACATATACTAATTTATTCCGCTTTACAATCTATTCACTTCAGTTATTTCTTTTTATGTTATTCCTACGGTGTATAGTTTGACAGTGCCGACAGGCAATTAATTTCTCAACACATACAGTAATTGCATTTATTGAAGCAATATTTTTGTTATCGTGAGATAATTTATCGCTTA